GCCCTGGGCCGGCAGCAGGTCCGTCTTTGGTGCCGACTGGCTCTGGCTCTATCAGACTTCAGGGAAACTTCTAGCTGCTTCTTGTAGAAGCCACCCCTACAGCCCCCCCACCTCCAAAATTTGGCCAGGCAAACCTAATACATCTATTTTTCTTGAATTCATTACACTGAGAGAAGAATAAAATTACTACCTACATGCATATAAAAACCCCCCACTAATAACCCCATCTAAAATATAAACAACATAATTTCATCAAAAAGAAAAATGCAACAATATTTTCTCTCATTTCCCCCTTCCTTTTCTTTCCTCCCTGTGTCAGGTGGGTATGACTGTTCAAATAATCCAGAGCCCTTCTTTTCTTATATCGAACTAGCAACAAAGTGTTGACCTCAACCATAAATTAACATATCTGTGAAAAGATTGATGCAGCTTTCTTGCTATCGCCTCTATGGCAAGATGAGGAAGAATTCTTTGGCTCTCTTTGCCATTATATCTGATTATTTGAAATTACAATAGCAAAGCGAGGGAATTCACATAGGTAAAAAGTAAAGATGTAGCAGGCTCTCAGCTTTTGACAAACAGCCCGTTCAGGATCGCTTACTTCTGAGCTGGTTCAGCCGTGGTGTTCAGGGTACACAGCTCTGTGCCCGCTCGCAGGGGGCTCCGGTGCCGGGACTGACCCTGGGGCACCTTCCTGGTTCTGCCGTGGCCTTTCGCTGCTGCCATCTCTCTGGCTGATGAGCCTCAGGATCCAGGAGTATCCACCCACTTCTCCTACAGTTAGGGCAAAACCTTTGCAGTCTGAAATGTTTCCTAGAATAGTTTTGTAAGGATAAGAAGATTATTTTAAAATATACAGTCTTACTGTTGATAAATCTTGCTTCCAAGTTGTGTACGGGTGTTCACTAACTCTACAGTGTGTTTGCACAGATAAGCTGCTTTCTTTTTTTTCTCCTGGCTCCATGCAAAATAAAGGTTTTTAAACAAGTGCGGCACTTGGTTTCAATTGTGTAACATTACAAGAAAAATAGGTTAAAATCAACTTGGACGTGTCAAGATGCAATAAGTGTTAGTGCTGTGCCTCTCTCTGTGAAAGTAGTTTTCAGAAGGAAGCCTCATTTTCTTACTGTACACCTTAATTTCTGAGATCACAGGCTGAGTTGGGAAGATGCTGTAAGCTGAGGAAAAGTGTTTGATGTGAGTGCTGCTTTTTGAGAGCAGAAGTGTTTTAAAGCCCTAGATCTTGGCTTAGTTGTCACTTCAGATCTGATTTTGTTGCCATGTCACGTAGCTGTGTGCTTTTTAGACATGCGCTAGTTTTCATTTATGTAGGGCAAGCGTGTTTTTATTGCTGTGAGATTGGTATTGTTAATATTTTGAACCATTCTACTTGTCTTCATACTGAACTTGAGGATTTTTTTGTGTGATTTTCTTTGCTTTTGCTATTACTTTAAATCAAGCAAATATCTCTCAAAATATTTTCCCTGCTTGCAGGTTCATCGTTTGGTGGTAGTGAATGAAGCAGATAGCATTGTGGGTATCATCTCCCTTTCTGACATTCTACAAGCTTTGGTACTCACACCAGCAGGTACGGATGTTGCCTTCAGACCTTTTGTCATAAGTCACTTGGTAGTGTGCACACCCTGCTGGTCTTACTGTCTTTGTCAGTGACCCACTTTTGATTTTCAACTTCTGTGACTGGTTCTCAAATACACTGTTAATTTCTCTTCAGGAAAAAGCTGACAAAATATTAACTATCAGTCTTTTGTTCACTGAGGAATGCACATGGAAGCCTCATGAATACTATTGCTGTTCATATATTTTTTTTAGGGGGGAAAAAGGTTTTGATTAATGTTTAAACAGGAAAACCAGGATCAAGTTGAATGTTGCGTGTATAGGCATCTACAACAGGGCACCTTCCCCGCCTTCCTGAATTTCTGTGCTCTGGCCAAGCACTCTCCGTGTGGCTGCAGTTGTGCTTTCCACCAGCTCCACAAAACCACCTCCTTAGAGTCCTGCAGTTGTCCAGCTGTGCTGTGAGGTTTGGTTGGCACGACTATGTCAGATAGCACCCCAGGCCACCAGAGTTATTCCAGTAGAAATTTCTAGTGTGTTATTAAACATAAGCAGGTTCCTTTTAATAAGACTATCCAACAATAGGTTTGGTTCTTCTACTTTTGTGTTGGCTGGTTGAGGGGAGTGGATTTGGGTTTTGTTTGTTAGTTTTTGTGCAGTGTTTTTTGCTTTGTTTTTTCTTGTTTTGTGTGTGTCTTTGTGTGAATTTTTAAATTTTGCCCACTAACCTGCTTTATGTTCTTAATTATAACTTCACTTTGACCGTATAAGTGACTTCAGTGTCACAAGAATTAAAGCAAATACCTCTTTTGGCTGTGTGAGGAAGACAAAAATTATCTTGATTACAACTCTGCCCCCAAAACCAAAAATCAGTCTAAACAAATAGAGCTGGATACATCCTTCAAAAAAAAGAAAGTAAATATGAGTTCAACTGGGATTTCTTACTTGCACTAATAGATAACATGATAATGTAGAAGTCTCTCCTCTGTAGGTGTAAAAGAAACCTAATGTAGCTTCTTAAAATAGTAAGAATTCTGCTGTGAGAAGAAGTTATCAGTGATAGTGCTGGAGGTATTATGTCAGTGCGTCTGGTTCCTTTTAATGACCTGGAAGAGCAAGTACCCAGCTTTCTGTGGCAGGTATGGATGAGTCTGAGAAGTCAGCTCAGAGCCCTGGGTCAGGTGGGCTCATTGCCTAGAAGAGAACGGAGGGTTACGTGTTCCTCCTCAGAGGGAGGTGGAGGGACAGGCAGAAGTCCCTCTCCAGGCAGAGGAATTAGTCTCCATCATGACTGGAGAGTAGAAGGATCTGAAGAGAGTAGAACTTACTGTTAATGGAGCCAAGTTTAGACAGAAAAGATTAATCTGGATACTGGAATTACACAGACCCTTAAGTTGCAACTCTGGGAGCTGACGTAACAGTGCTCTGTAATTAAAAAGGGCAGTTCCTGCTCCCCTGCTCTGGGCCATGTGCTTTGGGCGTTCAGCGTGTGGCAGCACCCACGTTCATGAGATCCCTCTGTGAGCTGCTTTAACTCATGGATCTAACAGGAAAACTGAGCCAGCAAAAAAGCTGCAGAGTTTGGTCAGTTTGCCACGCTGCGCGGCCTCACAGAAGAGTCTAGTACTGAGTGCAGGGGTTAGAGCAACAGGGGGGGCAGAATTACGCCACTGGAAGAGACGAGGTGAGGGAAGGCATTTTATAGGAGCAGTTTTAGGCATTAGATTGCAGTTCCACAGACAACTGCCTGGTTTTAGGTTGGGATTTGTCTTACGAAGTGAGGATATCTGCAATGTAGATCTATTTTGTAGAATCTGAGGTGTGATTTCCTATTTAAAGTGAATGTGTAAGAACCACCAGATAAATCATACCCTAAAAATGTCTGTTTCTCTTCACAGACTAGAAAGAAAAAATGTATGGACCAGCCTGCCTTAGTGGAAAAGATATCAGTTGTGATGTAAAAACTGGATGTATTTTATGAGTCTTTGTGTTTGATAATACATTGCAAGTCGTAACTCCAGGTTACAAGCAAGGGATTCTTGCTGTCTGGAGTTGGATGCTGAAGCCAAACTCACCATAGGGTTTAGTCGTTGCCCAGCATGTGGGCAGCTTCAGTACTTGGAGAAGAGGCGAGATGCTCTACAGTCCTGCTGACCAGGTCTCTCAGTTCCCCGCTGTAAGCAAAATCTGCCTCTGAGCCAGGAAAAATGGGTCCGTAAACACAGTGTAATTAAACTGAATTCTTAGATAGTTTGTTCCCAAGCAGGACTTCATTTTTTTGAGGCTATTATGATGAGTAAATCAACTTCTAGGCTGATCGACAGGTCTGGGCTGTGGCTTTTTGGTTGGGGTATTTAAATAAGCTTAAAATAAATTTTTGTGCTGGGGAAGAACCTTCAGAGTGCTTTCTAGCAACGTCCCAAAAGAGTTATTTTGCCAGTGAAGTTAGAAGCAGTAATGGGCTTGAGGGCTTCCTCACTCTATTTTCCGTTAGAATACACTGCAGGATCGCTACGTGCTTTCTAAATCGTACCCAGTACTGAGATTCTGGGAAAGTGGTCAGACAGCGCCGCAGCATTCCGACCGAGCGGTGCTTTTCCAGAAGCCAAGTGCTGTGCACGTAAGGAAGTCACAGATGCTTTCCTCTTCTCTTAACAGGTGCCAAACAAAAGGAGAATGAAAGCGAATGACTGCTGTGAATGTACACCCGCTTGTAGGAGAACTTGAACAAAGTTTCTGGGTCGAGTTTGTCTGAAGAACAGTGACTGCAATAGAACAGAGCAGGATGGTTGAGAATGTGTTTTGGGACTTACTGATGATGGATGATGAGTCTATTCCCCCCAGTGATGTCGCAAAAAAAAGCAGCATGACAAAAGCTTATGTTAAAATGTAGGCTTGTATTTCAAACTGTCTTCAAAACATTTGCTGGAAGACTTCACATGATGTCCTTCATTAAAATGCACTGTATTCGGAAACTTTTTCATTTTGTATTTGACAGAAGTCACTGGTCAGCAATGGATATATGTGACATAAGGCAAGTGTATGGCATATTCACATCATAGTGCCTTATGTCAAAATACAGCAATATGTCATCACTGTTGCCCATCACTGTCCAAGGAAGTATTGTGCTAAACAAGACACTGTATTTGAATGTGAAAGTCTTTAAACCTAAAACCAAATCAGTTTCAGTTCTCATTAGATTTGTCATAAAAGCTGTAATTCGAGTATCGGTAGACTTCTTTAAAACTTCAATGACAGTTTTGTGTTAAATGTTGCATTCTGAACGGAGATGTAAAACAAGACTGATTTTAAGAACAGCTTTATTTATTTTTACTTTCATGACAATTTTTTACACATCTTTGGTGGATAGCTAAAATTTCACCATATCCATTAATAAACTGTTGATTGTTATACAAACAAATGGTAGATTTTTCTCATTATTTAAAACTTTTGGAGTTGCAGAAGCTGTGGCCTGTTGATCAGTCCGTATTACTTGAGCTGCACGTGTCGTGAGTGTGGATTGGAAGTGCTCTGTACTGTAATACAAAGGTACCACGGAGGAATTGAGGTGCTGGAGAACAATACTTTCATCTGTATTAAAGTGTAAAACAATGTTTGTACAACAAAACTGAAACTTTTTATTGTATACGATTTGTACAGAAGTGGAAGAGTGAGGAAAGCTCTGGGCTATTTGCTAATGTAAATGTACTGTAAAGTTTGAAGATGAGACTTTTTTATAATTGTAGATTCTTGTAGATGGAAGAAATTAAACCCTACAACATCAGTTTGCTTTTAGCAGTTCTTGCCAAGTTCTTTTGCATGTATAAACGTACGTGCATTTTCATTAGTGTAAACTAGGTATGGAGGCATTCTTACTTTCCTTCAGCTTAAAGGTGGCTTGTGCTAATGCTGTAATGCAGGCAGTACTTTGATGTTTCCAGCCTGAATACCATGCTGGAATAATGCAATAAATTGATCCATTGTTTTTCCATTTATAACAATTGAGCTAAAAAGGTAACAGTTCTCAGTTTGCTTGTGAAATGTGAGGGGTTTAATAGTAATGAAAAACCCTTTCTTGAGTCTTTCCCACTTTCTATAAGAATCTAAATTTTGAACTAAATTTTCTTCTTACTGGCTTCTTACCTGTATAAAAATACTCCTGTGGTACATAACGGAAACTGTTCTCTTAAGATTTTTATCTCACTCTCTTACTCTGTGGAAAGTGTGGTCAAGTCTTCTCCAGGACCTTTTCTGACCAGGTAAATGTTGACTCTGTTCCCTGCAATTCCAGACAGTACTGAATTGAAATGAAAGAGCTGCTTTGACATAACAACAACCTTAGAGTCTGGTGCTCATTGCTGTCACCAGAGGTGACATCGGCACAGCTCTGATCATCTTTCTTGAGGGCAGATGGAGTGACAAAAACTAAAAATAGTGGCTCTTGATTTTTGTGGGCTGCATAAAGGGGGTAATTTGTGATAAAGCAGAAGTTTGTATGAAGGCCAAGTGTTCAGCAGTCACGTACCAGTCACGGCCACCCAAGCTGCAACGACACGACCTTGTGAAAGCCTGGATATGGCTCCAGCACCATAACCCTGGGATGCCAGGGAGTTGCCTAAATGCATCCTGAAAACTCTTTACCTATCACTAGTCTGCATGAGCGTATTCTGCAGCCCTGTATTCAAGGTATTTTTGAAGATAAGAGTTGAACCACTGATAGGTACTTCTTGATCTACTTTATTTTTTGGCCCTGTTCCCTGCAGACAGCTTTGGGCTTGTCTGCATAAATTAGTGGGCAGAAAACCAGAATGAATTTGCAGTTTTTGAACAACCATGCACAGACTTCCTATTCTAATGCTATTACAAATGCTGTTGATGCGTTGTGGACACAAGACTAGCAAAATTATGGAAAGTAGCCTCCTGGGTCATGCAAAACTGTATTTAGAGGATTCCCACACTCACTTTCTGGAATTCAGTTTCCGAAATCTCCCTTTGTGAGAAGTAGAATCGCAGGGTAATTCCACAAACACAAATAAACAGTGGTGCTATCAGAAAGACACTCTGCTTGTACTGGCACAAGTACCAGTGCTGCTGCAGGAAAAAAACTAGAGCAATCATGTCATTTTTAATAGAGATCAGTTTACTACAGAGCTAGAAGCATGCTTGCTCCAGCATAAGGGAGAGACAGGAGTAACTAAAGGGGGATAGAGAAAGGAAAGGTGACTCAGCAGCACTGCTGCTCTGACAGCGCAGCTGAAGCTTTGATCCAGGATTCTTCACGTGGCTTGTAAGAGGTTTCAGCTGTGGAAGAAAATGAATAAAATATTAAACTCAAGTTCTTGCACATTTTTTCCTCTGGGAAAAAGCTGAGACCACAGCTCTGGCTCCAGGTGCTCCCTTCCTTTCTGCAGACAGCACCATGCCCCATGTGGAGACGGCAGCAAGCTTCCCCAGGGACTGCTGAAAGCCTGGGCAGTAGCGCAGATCATTTTCCATCCTGAGGATGAGACACTGTGGAAATGGATTCTATTTTAATCAGCAGGACTGTAAAACATGTGGTTGCTTCCTACGCTTCCCTGTGCACTTCCTTGCCCAGTAAGAGGTATCGGTGAAAGGTAATTATTTCTACAGGGCTTCTTGGTCTTTGAAGGGAGCAGATTAAGTTTGTTTCTTGCCTACTCTGGATATTTTTAGCTGTCCAGGTGTAAGACTGTGGACTTCAGCCCTCGATATTTTTTAGAATCTAGAGATGCTTGTGAATTAAGAAAAAGCACCCTTTGCTGGCATTGATTACTTGACTGATGAAAATATTTTGCTGTTTTATTTCTGGAATCCTTTCAGTTAAAAGATCTGAGCTCTTTAACCCCTCACAGACAGTATTTGCTGTTTACTACAAACTGAACTGCAATTGTTGCACATCCAAGGCCTATTCATCTTTTTTTACTGAGGAATACTATTCTTCTGGGAATGTTTGGGTAACACAGAAAGAACCAGCCTCACTTTCTGAGGCCTGAGCTCTTGTCCTCCCAGCAGACGAGGAATCTGACTGAAATGGTTCTAGGACTACACACTGCTTTGAGAACGCTCTTGCCATCTTTCCAGAGAATGTAAGGTAAGTTGGAGGCTTTCACTTTTGCTCCAACTAGAAGTGGAACTACCTGTGCTTAATCCTGTCACAGAGCAGGTGGTTTGACTGAGCTCTTCAGGCAGTTCTAGAAGTAACCAGTTTACTTCAAAAGTTTCTGTGAACTTTCACCACTTACGCTCCCATACTGAACACTTACTAGGGGTAATTTCCAGAGGAAAATGTCATTCTGAATAATTTAATAGTACCCTTGTACCCACATAATGTGTTTATGCAAAAAGAGGGTTCTGCAGACACTGCTCTTTACTCTTAACTTCAGGTTTTAATTTAAATGCGGTTTTGAAAGTCACTTTCTTGGTACCTCTTTTTTTTTATGATGATTGCAGTTGGATCTGTTCGCGCTGCAGTGAATGGGAACAGCAGGTGACCTGTACTCGCACATCAAACTCATTCATTTAGAAAAATCCTATAGAGTGCGGCAGCCCTGCCAGCTGCATACCAGGGCCTGTATGGCGTTAGCCCGAGAACTGAATTAGTTCCTTAATTTGCTTCTACTAACATTTTGCCCATGTTTCTGTCTGAATATCGGAAAATGTGATCCCTGTGAAAATGCAGGAGGGAGTAGGAACAAGTGTAAGATTGAACTGAAAGTATTTAGTAACCTCGTGGGCAGCAAACCTTATGCTGTACATGTGGAAGCATGCCCAATACACTTCAAAAAGCTCCTTGGGAAGGTCCTGATTAGCCAAAGAACAGAGCAGGTAATTATACCGGTAATTGCCGTTACAGGAATTGAATGTACAAGTCAGAGCTGTTCTGCCTCTGGAGGCTGAGCAGCAGTGTGTTTGCCCGTCTGTATGTACTGTATGCATACGTATACAGTAACCTGTTGGTTACGTTTTCTATGTGAAATTCATAGTTTTTCCTCCATCATAGAAAAGCAGATACAGGCAACAAAAGACACGTACCATTTTTGCAGCCTTCCTCAACGTCTGTTCTTGATCTCACTGCATACACATACTCTGTTGGTGCTTGCAGTTCTCCTTTCCGGTATTTTCCATTTCAGAATCATAGTCCACACCTGAGGTGCTGCATTCATTGACCATGTTATTAGCTTATTTACAATAACACTAATGTAATTTATCAACTGATAGAAAGGCTGCATCTGAGTTGAAGGAGTATCTGGTGGGGCGAGATACAAAGCAGGCCTGGAGTACCGCCAGTGCACAGGTGCGTGCCATACGTCACTTGTCCCAAAATTCTCTGAACTCCGGTGCAGTTCACGGCACAACCTGCAACCACAGTAGAAAGGAAGAAGCCAGGCTAGGACCAGGGAATACGCAGGCAAAACCCTAATCCCTAACGTTACTGCTGCTTCGGAATGCCGGGTTGTGAAATCGCAGCCTGAATGTCACTTAGCTTGGTTAGAGGGGGAGAAAATTCCAGGGAAGGGCCACTTTGTGAGTGTGTGAAGCTGCTCAGCCCTGAACACATAAACGGTAGCAGTTTGAACAGCACAGTGTGCCCTGATCGGACATTCACAGCCAAAAGGGGTGCTCTCCCTCTGCGCCAGAGCACTCCAGGAAGCATCTGAACTTCACTGGGGTGGGATAAATGCAGGAGCAGTCAGATCCTCTCTTCTCTGCTTACGCTGCTGCCAGTGGACTAACAGCGTCCCAAGGTGCTCTCTAAGGCTACTCAGCAATATCACCAAGTCCTAGAGCGTGGATAATGACAAAGTTCCTGGGAAGCTCTGTATTTCCCTGTATTTTGAGTGTTCCAGTCAAGACAGAATGAAGCACTTAGGTAATCCTGATGGCATAAGGTTTATTAGCCAATTGCTTCCAAAGAACCAGTGGAAGAAAACAAAGCCTCAGTTTTTTTCTGCAAGTTTAAAAATCACCTGTGCCCAGGAAAGATGAGTTCTGTGTTCCTGCCACAAGGCAAGCTGAGAAAGCATGGAGGGTATCCTAAGGTGGGACAACCCTTGCAATGAGAGGCAGTAAATAAAGCAGCTGAAGCGGGCGTGCAGAAACCCTGCAGTAGCGAGCTCTCCTGAATTACAGAATCACCGAATGTCAGGGGTTGGAAGGGACCTCGAAAGATCATCTCGTCCAGCCCCCTGCCAGAGCACGATCACCTACAGTAGGTCACACAGGAACGCGTCCAGGTGGGTTTTGAATGTCTCCAGAGGAGGAGACTCCACAGCCCCTTGGGGCAGAGACATTAGTAGAGAGAGAACAAGTGCAAGTTAACAGAAACAAGGTAAATAAATACATAAGGGTCCAAAAGGTGAGCGGGATAAGAAAAAAGAGTAAGGGAAAAGACTTACTCAAGAGAAGTGGGGTATTGTCAAGGAGGGCAGAAAACCACAAACTCTCACAAATGAAAACATCCTGATGCTTGCCACTCTGAGCATGTGGAAAGGTATGAATCTGTTTTCTGAAAATGCAGATTAGGTTTCAGCAGAGTGCCTATATATGACAGGCAAGTAATAAGAACTGTTAAGGACATGGAAATTGAAAGCATAGCAAACTTCACCTATGTTTCCAAATCCATTTATGTCATTGGAAGATAACTCGTCTCAGTTCTTTCAGTCCTCCAGCTCAGTAAATAGCCCAAATTGTGGACCATGGCATGGTTCAAGAAGCAGTGAGTGCAAAGATGACAGCACAGCCGCAGAACTACAAAAGGGATGG